CCTCTGTCGCAATAGGTTTGCAACACAGCCCGACCACGAAACAGCCGTGATCTCGAGACCCGACGTCACGTATGCTTTCGGTGACGAGGAGGGTCCTTCCAAGGGGCTAGGGGCTAATGGAGGGTCGTTTTTCCTGTCTTCACACTTGACGTTCAGATGGATGATTCCCTGTTCTAGCAACCGGATCAGGCTCCTAAGCAGAGATTTACCTAGAGCAGCTCCACTTCGAACTTAAAACGTCACAGATTGGATGGTAATATAGGAGACTAGTGGCTAAAAGCAATCCTAAACCCGAAAGAATTCTCTGGGTACTTAGACTACTACTACTACTACTACTACTACTACTACTACTACTACTGCTACTGCTACTGCTACTCCTACTACTACTACTACTACGTCGTGGAGACATGGGAAGCCCGTTCTGATCAGAGGTGGGTGGTGAAGAGCCTGCCTTTGAATCCTTCCTCAGCCTCTTCTCCGTCTTCTCCTACGTGATGCGACTTGCTGGGGTTGGATCCAAAGGTTTAGGGTTTTAGGGTTTAGGGTTCAGGGTTTAGGGTTTAGGATCAGTGTTCGTTACGCTATGGTTTGGCATGTGTGCAGGTGCTTCGGGGTCCGTGTGGTATAGGGCATCTTGCAAAGACGTTTCTGATGACGATGATGCAATGTTGAGAACGAATATGGTAATTATGATGACAATGGCGAGCATCACGAAATTCACTGCGCCACTGTAACATCCCCACCGGTGCATACGGCCAGTCGCACTTCGACTGCATGCCACCTTTGCACCGTAGCTCCCATACCGCTGCACCCTGCTACCTAACGAATGCCCTCACCAATCGCAAACCAACATCGTCAGCCCAGAGCCCAAGCATCACGAAAGCCCTCGAAGCCTGCTCTAAATAGCTCGTGAAACCGTACCCTGAATTCTTCTGCCTTATGCCTAAACCCTAAATATCTAAGTCTGTTGACCCTGAACCCTAAAAGCCTGAAATGCGCACAGGAAGCTTATCCCAGGTACGCCTTCGCAATCGTCGTCACTCTGCCGACACTGCGGAGCACGATGCAAGATCGAAGCGCCTGGCTGTGTCTTTGTTAGCGGGTTGGGGTTTAGGGCAGTTTAGGGGTTTGGAGTTTTAGGTTTTGGATTCAGGGTTTGGGTTTAGAGGGTTCTCATGCATACGTGATGGCACACTATGACATGGATACGAACGACCATCTATCGCAAGATGGGTGAGCCTTTACGGCCTTAGACAAGCTGACACCAGCTACCAAGGCCAGCTGACGCCCATGTGCATCATTGCCTTCACCGTCGTCTCTATGGAGCTTCCCAGTTTCATCCAACGTACTTGGAGGGTCGGGGGACTTCGTAAGTAGTTATTTCATAGTGTCATAACTAATTGCCTGACGAAGGACGCTTCAGCAACAAGGGATGGCCGAGGAAACCTGAAGTATTGTAAGGCCTGCAGAGCGTGTCATACCTCTACGTCCTGATACTTGAACTACCCCACCCAAGAGCCCTTACCTCTGCAGCTTCAAACTGCCCTGCTTCTGCAAAGCCCCCAACTCTAAATCTGTCCCAACATAGCTTGTTGTACCATCGCCAGAGTAATACGGCAAGACTTAGACTGACTGAGCTAGCTGGACTATGTGACGATGCTTTCAGATCATGTTCAAAGGACTGTTGTATCGTTGACCCAACCAGGTAAGGAAAAGTGTGTCGTGTTTTTGCACCGTTTCCTTTTTGAGGTCAGACAACCTAGCTCGCAACAAGCATTTCAGGGCCCTTCCTTTAGCAGCTACTGTAGGGCCTGGGGGGTTTCAGGAGCTTTTTCGGGCTTTGGGGCTGAAGGCCATCAGCGCATTTTATAGTTTAGGGTTTAGGGGTTTAGGGTTTAGGGTTTACCATCCGGAAGCCTCGAAAAGCTCAAAGCCTCACGTGCTGGACACTACAGCCTGGTACCCGAAGGTCCAAAATCCTGCAACCCGAAGATATGGCTCAGGGAATACACTGGATACTCTAAACGCCGTAGAACCCCAATCCACTTTCACAAATCCTAAAGCCCTGAACTCCAAGATTATCTCAATCCCCATGCAAATCCTGTATATAAACGACAAACCCAGAGACTCCAAAACCCCTTAATTAAGGAATGTACCTTTAAATTATAGTAGGATCCCCAAAATGATTTAAGGAGTATTCCTTAATCAAGGGATAGTGGAGTCTCTGGGAACCTAACTGAACAGGATCTCCGTTCACCTGCTTCCAGGAGTTTCTGGTCATCATGTTTGCCTACTACTGGGTTTTCGGTCGCTGGGAACCGTAATTAGTTGAAGGTCATTGCCCTAAGGTTCCTTTTTGGAATTACCTTATAGGATTCTATATGCAAACCCCAAAATTGAACTACTTTGGGGCCTTAGGGTAGGTCCTATTAGGTTCTGCAAGGATTGGGATGGTGTGGCTGGGAAATCAGCTTCTGATTCAGCTTTAAGTCTGTTTGAGGTTCTCGGGATTTCGGGGAGTGAGGTTTGATAGAGCTTCTGTTAGTTAGGGTTTGCGGCTTGGGTTTAGGGTTTAGGGTTTTGTCTTCGGCTCTTGACACTCCCTGAAGGTCAAGATACCTACAGCCACTCGAAATGTACAAGTCTACAACACTGCTACTAAGACACTGTAAGCGGTAGGTTCTGGTATGTTAATGTGGGTGGTTGTCAATATTAGGGTCCCTTTTTTGATCCTTATTACAATGCGGCACCTAATATTTAGGGTACCCAAAAAAGGACCACAATTTTGACAACCACCCATGTGCGAACCCAGGCATGATGGGGAATTCCAGGCAGTGGTTTTAGCAGTTCCGATGTGTGTTTCCTGTCCTGTTCCCCTTGTGCCTTCTTGTTAAACTTATTAAACGGCTCTGCCATCGACATTGGTCCCCGAAAACAAAAAACCCACCCCTCGCACGAGCGTGCTCCATCACCGGACCGGAATCTCAGCGTATAGAGGCAATCTTGGGCCAGAGAACATCATCGACGGCATGCGCGCCTTGGCTCAAGGGGTTTCTGATGTGGGTCGTTTTTCTAAATTAGGGTCATTCAGGGTCCCTTGTTAGGTCTCCCCAAAACGTACGGCATCCTTCTAACAAAGGACCCTAAAAAGGGTCCTAATTTGGAGAACTACCCATATGGCTCACTTACTGAGTCACAGGTCCCTCTCGAGTCGAGCACTGAACTTCAGGCAATGGACGCGATGAGATCTTGCCCGGCTGGTGGGCGACAGTGCCTGAGCTGAGTTTTGTGGGGCGGAATTTTCATGTGGAGCTTTCAGAAAAGACGGAGAGGGCCCTTCTTAGAGGTCCCCGTAAGCAGGATCCTGTCATTTAGTGTTCGGCCCCTACCTACCTCATGTTTTCTGGAATTTTTCTGGGCATGATGATTGGGAGCCTATGGGAAGGGATGCTAGACAAAACCTGATAGCCTAGAGGCATACCAAGTTGCGAAGCCCTGAATTCCAGAACATGAGCATACTGCAGCCTTCAACCTTTACAAGCCTGACTTTTGAAGGCTTTAGCGCACGTCCGGTGCCCTCATGCCTGGTAATGTAACACGTCTGAGCACGTCTGGGAATGTAAGTTTCCAAGCATCTGTGTATATTGTAGCTACTTGCGGTTAGGTTTGCTTGCAAATTTAGGCACATCTATGGCTGAGGGCTGCAAGGTTAAAGGCTTAGGTATATCTACAGCATGCATGCTGTCTTGAAGATTTGGTGGTCCCTCTGTGTTTACGTCTCCGCTGAACTGTGAAGGTGGATCCATGGGGCGTGGGGCATCCTAGCTGGCTGGGGCAGGCACTGGCCGACTTTGTGACCGTGATGCCATGTAAAAGCCTCCGCACCCCCACCAGGTAAAAAATCGGGTGGTGATGCCCGGAACCCTAAAGCCCTGTTTTGCAGGCCCTTGGCTGGGGCATCACTTTGCTGCTTGGACTTGGACAGATGTTCTGATGGTCCGTCATGGGATGCTGAAGAAAGCGAAAAGCGTGGATGTCGTTGCTGGCTGAAACGAGGAAGATTCGCCTGAACTTTCAGAACCAAAGAGGCTAGCTCACGTTAAGCTGTTTGCAAACAAACAAAGCTTGGATCAGCATGCTGGCCCACATCAACAAAAAACGGATGTGAAGTCTAAGTTTCGGAGCTCGCGATTGCGGGGTTTGGTGTCGTTTTGCTCGGACGATTAGATAGGCATCCTGGTTTTGACTCTCGTTAAATATGAAGTACAGGGTCCCAGAGATTACCACAGTGCGCTTTGCTGCAAGTGTCATTTACCAAGATCGGGCATATTCAGTTATTTTTGCATGTAAAGCATCCTGTTTCCGCTCGGACTGTTGATAGACAAGTCCGAGCCATGACTTGCATCTCTCTACATTAAGGCATCTGCTATGCTCCGATGCGATCTACGTTCCCGCATCTCAGCGAGACTTTGGGCATAAGCTGTGGTAATTCAAGGGCTTTGGCTGATTTTCGCGAAGGCTTGGAAGCTTAATAGGGAGGATCATGCTGGGATAGTTCACTAATTGCAGAAATTCGGAGTGGCTGTGTGCAGTGTGGGAAGCCCGGGTTACTGGAAGGTGCACGGCCTCAGAAAGTAGCCAGGGATAGTGCAGCTGCGATTAATTCTGTTTGGTCTTGCTGCGGATCCTCAGTACGGCAGCTAGACTGAGCAATCATCATCGGGTCCCAGCCAGACCTGCTAGAGCACGAGTGTGCGAAATCGAAGCCGACAGTCAAGAACCAGCTTTGTCTTTTAACTCTGCGGCAACTACCGGGACGTATGCAGTCTCTGAGATCTCTGCTTGCGAAATGCCTGGGACAAGGTGGCAAGTCTCTGCAACCTGAGCTGGCTCGTGTGTGGTTGGGGTCGTTGAAACATCGACAGAATGGAGTTGGAACAGTTCGCAAAGCTTCTGCAGCTGGGGGAGCTCAACAGGCAGTGGCTGACTGGTCAGCGTCCATGACTCGGATCGGCAGCTTCACTGCAATGTATGAGGATGGACTGCCAGAAGTTCGCCGAAAGAACGAGAAGCTCCGAGCCTTTATGAAGACTCTTGCCTGGCCTAGGCTGTCATGCTTTGACGTGAAAGGCAGTGTTTATGACTTGCCCCTGGACGCTGCAAGCGTCAGGTCCACTGAATCGATCGATGCACGTGCGGGTTCCAAATTGCAGTACTTGGCCGGTTTTTTTGACGGAGATGGTAGCATTTCTTGCTTGGGGTCATTGTCCGGGTGCTTCTTGGAGGTGTCGCAGTCCTTCGACAAGGCTGAGGTTCTCATGCTGCTACGTGAAACATTCGGGGGAAGCATCGGGCGCGGGCGCAACGGCCTGGGCCTGCACAAACCTGTCTTGCGGTGGTGTATTCGGCCAGTCGGCCAGGAGGGCGGCCTCGCTCGTGGCCACATACAGCATCACCAAACGGAAACAGCTTTTACTGGCGGCCGAATGGCCAGAAACACTGCCCCACAGAGAGCGCTGCAAAGCCGAGCTGAAAGTGCTGAAGGAATACGATTCAGCAGTCGCAAGGCCGTGCAGTTGGGAGTACTGTGCCGGCTTCTTTGATGCCGAGGGCCACATCGCGCAGCCAAAAGCAGGGTCCTCCCTGTCTCTGCGCATGGATCAGAAACACCCCACAGTGTTGAATTGTCTCCGTGATTTTTTGGCTGAGAGTATCGGCGTAGATGCTACTGTGAGCTGGTCCAGGCGTATGCCGTGCCTGCGTCGGTTGTTGGTTACCAACTTGCTCGATTGCAAGCAGGTGCTTCAGTGCATGTTGCAAGCTGGACTGCTGTGCAAAGCGAAGCCGGCAGAGCTGGCTTTGGGTCTGACGCCGGAGAACGCGTTGCAAGTCAATGCGGAATTGGCTTGCCTCACTGGGAACCAAATGTATGGAAAGAGCTTAGATGCTTCCGGTAGGCACAGGGCGAAAACGATAGCCGCCCTGCGGGAACAAACCAGAAAGATGGTCAGATGCCAAGAGCTTCACATGGCCGAAGCGATACTGAGAAAGCTGGAGGCATTACAGTCTGAGCACGCGCTGCTCAAGGCGCTGAAGGAAAATGCGCAGTTGCTCGACTACTGTCGTGGTATTGAATATTTGCACGACATTTGTTGGGAAGGTCCGCACGACTTGTGTGCACATTATGTGAACATGGATTGCGGTGCGAAAAGTCAGCAGCACCTGAATACAGCGTCTTGTCTTTTGCAGGCTAGACGAATCAAATACAATATAATCTCAACAGGGATTTTGCCATTGTTGCCGCAAATGGGTTTTCACATTGCCAGGTCGAGAGTCTTTGCAATGTTCAATGTGGGTCATGCCCCGGACAATGGTCAGATGATGTCTGATTTGCATAGCTTCATTGGCATTAAACCCCAAGGCAAGCTTAGAAAACCTCAAGTTGCCAGAAGATACCAAAACTCTAAAACCCAAGTCGGATGCAAACATATATCTCCTCAACCGTTTGAAGACGTAGCTCCAACCATGAAGCCTAGAATGCGAGGAGGACCAAGACTAATCAAAAGGCTGCTTCGATGATTGCGTCACGTCAGGCTTTGCGGAGAGAAAGTGAAGTCCCAGACCCTGAACGTGTAGGGGTCGAAGTAGTTACGTAGTCTTCTTCATGTGTGGGGGTTTGGAACAACTGTTTTTTGTATTGCGAGGAGGAAGCTGTAGAACAGCAGGGAGAAGGACAGGAAAAACATACGTCTCGGAAGCGTACGGCCATCCTATAAATCCTAAACCCGCCCTGGACTCTGACTTCCATGCGTCGGCTGACCCTTAAACGTGCTTCCTTGTTTTGTTCCCCTCTTTCGTGTTATGGAACGCACCCATCAAAGTACATAGGTTATCCAGAACGTTATCCAGAAGCCTGTAAATCCCTACTCTACTCCGTATGATCACACCAAGGTCACAGTGGTTTCAGTGGAAGCGCTGTTGCCGAAGCACATAGCAGCCAAGAGGCCTTGGAATAGATGTTACTATGTTTCTCCCCAATTTGCACAGTTGGGATCTTAAGTGTTTATAGGGGTTCTGGGATGTTAAAGGTCACACGTTAAGGGTTTTAGGTTATAATAGGGTTGGGCATGAAGTCATTGAAGGTGCTGGTGCGTAGTATGTTAAGCATTAGAGGGAACTTGCATAGTTGCCTATTTGGCCTTTTTCCTCTCTTTCATATCGAGTTCCCCCCCGGTTCTGACGGGTCGTGAGAGGATTTACGGGGTCTTGCCGAGGTGGGGGGACACCGGGGGCGGCACTAAGGCGGCTTTTTGCGCCGATGAGCACCCCCCTCCTCGCCCGTATTCCTCCCGTCAGGGCGACAGTGCCTGGCCTACTCTTTTCCTTTTTTCTCTTCCCAAAGGCGCTTACTCCTCCCGGAGGTCTTTCGCTTTCCATGCCTCGTGCAAGGTTTTCGTGCTGCAATCCCAGACCCCCCGTCTCGTTCCGAGATTGGGGGTCTGTCTTGTTGCCGTAGGTCTTTCGCCTTCCATGCCTCGTGCAAGGTTTTCGTGCTGCAATCCCAGACCCCCCGTCTCGTTCCGAGATTGGGGGTCTGGCTTGTTGCCTTCTTCCACGCCTCCCGTAGGTCTTTCGCTTTCCATGCCTCGTGCAAGGTTTTCGTGCTGTTCTTCCACGCTTCCCGCAGGTCTTTCGCTTTCCATGCCTCGTGCAAGGTTTTCGTGCTGCAATCCCAGACCCCCCGTCTCGTTCCGAGATTGGGGGTCTGGCTTGTTGCCTTCTTCCACGCCTCCCGTAGGTCTTTCGCTTTTCATGCCTCGTGCAAGGTTTTCGTGCTGCAATCCCAGACCCCCCGTCTCGTTCCGAGATTGGGGGTCTGGCTTGTTGCCTTCTTCCACGCCTCCCGCAGGTCTTTCACCTTCCATGCCTCGTGCAGGGGTTTCGTGCTGCAATCCCAGACCCCCCGTCTCGTTCCGAGATTGGGGGTCTGGCTTGTTGCCTCCTTCCACGCCTCCCGCAGGTCTTTCGCCTTCCATGCCTCGTGCAGGGTTTTCGTGCTGCAATCCCAAAGCGTTGTGTCGTTCCGAGATTGGGGGTCTGGCTTGTTGCCTTCTTCCACGCCTCCCGTAGGTCTTTCGCCTTCCATGCCTCGTGCAGGGTTTTCGTGCTGCAATCCCAGCGTTGTCTCGTTCCGAGATTGGGGGTCTGGCTTGTTGCCTTCTTCCACGCCTCCCGTAGGTCTTTCGCCTTCCATGCCTCGTGCAGGGTTTTCGTGCTGCAATCCCAATCGTTCCGAGATTGGGGGTCTGGCTTGTTGCCTTCTTCCACGCCTCCCGTAGGTCTTTCGCTTTCCATGCCTCGTGCAAGGTTTTCGTGCTGCAATCCCAGACCCCCCGTCTCGTTCCGAGATTGGGGGTCTGGCTTGTTGCCTTCTTCCACGCCTCCCGTAGGTCTTTCGCTTTCCATGCCTCGTGCAAGGTTTTCGTGCTGCAATCCCAGACCCCCCGTCTCGTTCCGAGATTGGGGGTCTGGCTTGTTGCCTTCTTCCACGCCTCCCGCAGGTCTTTCGCCTTCCATGCCTCGTGCAGGTTTTCGTGCTGCAATCCCAGACCCCCCGTCTCGTTCCGAGATTGGGGGTCTGGCTTGTTGCCTTCTTCCACGCCTCCCGTAGGTCTTTCGCTTTCCATGCCTCGTGCAAGGTTTTCGTGCTGCAATCCCAGACCCCGGGGGTCTGGCTTGTTGCCTTCTTCCACGCCTCCCGCAGGTCTTTCGCTTTCCATGCCTCGTGCAAGGTTTTCGTGCTGCAATCCCAGACCCCCCGTCTCGTTCCGAGATTGGGGGTCTGGCTTGTTGCCTTCTTCCACGCCTCCCGTAGGTCTTTCGCTTTCCATGCCTCGTGCAAGGTTTTCGTGCTGCAATCCCAGACCCCCCGTCTCGTTCCGAGATTGGGGGTCTGGCTTGTTGCCTTCTTCCACGCCTCCCGCAGGTCTTTCGCCTTCCATGCCTCGTGCAGGGGTTTCGTGCTGCAACCAGACCCCCCGTCTCGTTCCGAGATTGGGGGTCTGGCTTGTTGCCTCCTTCCACGCCTCCCACAGCTCTTTCGCCTTCCATGCCTCGTGCAGGGTTTTCGTGCTGCAATCCCAGACCCCGGGGGTCTGGCTTGTTGCCTTCTTCCACGCTTCCCGCAGGTCTTTCGCTTTCCATGCCTCGTGCAAGGTTTTCGTGCTGCAATCCCAGACCCCCCGTCTCGTTCCGAGATTGGGGGTCTGGCTTGTTGCCTTCTTCCACGCCTCCCGTACGTCTTTCGCTTTCCATGCCTCGTGCAAGGTTTTCGTGCTGCAATCCCAGACCCCCCGTCTCGTTCCGAGATTGGGGGTCTGGCTTGTTGCCTTCTTCCACGCCTCCCGCAGGTCTTTCGCCTTCCATGCCTCGTGCAGGGGCTTCGTGCTGCAATCCCAGACCCCCCGTCTCGTTCCGAGATTGGGGGTCTGGATTGTTGCCTCCTTCCACGCCTCCCGCAGGTCTTTCGCCTTCCATGCCTCGTGCAGGGTTTTCGTGCTGCAATCCCAAAGCGTTGTGTCGTTCCGAGATTGGGGGTCTGGCTTGTTGCCTTCTTCCACGCCTCCCGTAGGTCTTTCGCCTCCCATGCCTCGTGCAGGGTTTTCGTGCTGCAATCCCAAAGCGTTGTGTCGTTCCGAGATTGGGGGTCTGGCTTGTTGCCTTCTTCCACGCCTCCCGAAGGTCTTTCGCCTTCCATGCCTCGTGCAGGGTTTTCGTGCTGCAATCCCAGACCACTCGTCTCGCCGTCTCGCTCCGAGATTGGGGGTCTGGCTTGTTGCCTTCTTCCACGCCTCCCGTAGGTCTTTCGCTTTCCATGCCTCGTGCCAGGTTTTCGTGCTGCAATCCCAGACCCCCCGTCTCGTTCCGAGATTGGGGGTCTGGCTTGTTGCCTTCTTCCACGCCTCCCGTAGGTCTTTCGCTTTCCATGCCTCGTGCAAGGTTTTGGTGCTGCAATCCCAGACCCCCCGTCTCGTTCCGAGATTGGGGGTCTGGCTTGTTGCCTTCTTCCACGCCTCCCGTAGGTCTTTCGCTTTCCATGCCTCGTGCAAGGTTTTCGTGCTGCAATCCCAGACCCCGGGGGTGGTCTTTCGCTTTCCATGCCTCGTGCAAGGTTTTCGTGCTGCAATCCCATACCCCTTGGGGGTCTGGCTTGTTGCCTTCTTCCACGCCTCCCGTAGGTCTTTCGCTTTCCATGCCTCGTGCAAGGTTTTCGTGCTGCAATCCCAGACCCCCCGTCTCGTTCCGAGATTGGGGGTCTGGCTTGTTGCCTTCTTCCACGCCTCCCGCAGGTCTGCAACCAGACCCCCCGTCGCGTTCCGAGATTGGGGGTCTGGCTTGTTGCCTCCTTCCACGCCTCCCACAGCTCTTTCGCCTTCCATGCCTCGTGCAGGGTTTTCGTGCTGCAATCCCAAAGCCCTGTCTCGTTCCGAGATTGGGGGTCTGGCTTGTTGCTTTCTTCCACGCCTCCCGTAGGTCTTTCGCTTTCCATGCCTCGTGCAGGGTTTTCGTGCTGCAATCCCAGACCACTCGTCTCGCTCCGAGATTGGGGGTCTGGCTTGTTGCCTTCTTCCACGCCTCCCGTAGGTCTTTCGCTTTCCATGCCTCGTGCAAGGTTTTCGTGCTGCAATCCCAGACCCCCCGTCTCGTTCCGAGATTGGGGGTCTGGCTTGTTGCCTTCTTCCACGCCTCCCGCAGGTCTTTCGCCTTCCATGCCTCGTGCAAGGTTTTCGTGCTGCAATCCCAGACCCCCCGTCTCGTTCCGAGATTGGGGGTCTGGCTTGTTGCCTTCTTCCACGCCTCCCGTAGGTCTTTCGCCTTCCATGCCTCGTGCAGGGTTTTCGTGCAGCAATCCCAGACCCCCCGTCTCGTTCCGTCTGGCTTGTTGCCTTCTTCCACGCCTCCCGTAGGTCTTTCGCTTTCCATGCTGCAATCCCAGACCCCCCGTCTCGTTCCGAGATTGGGGGTCTGGCTTGTTGCCTTCTTCAACCCCTCCCGTAGGTCTTTCGCCTTCCATGCCTCGTGCAGGGTTTTCGCACTGCAATCCCAGACCCCCCGTCTGGTTCCGAGATTGGAGGTCTGGCTTGTTGCCTTCTTCCACCCCTGCCGTAGGTCTTTCGCCTTCCATGCCTCGTGCAGGGTTTTCGTGTTGCTATCCAGGGCGTCGTCTGGCTTGTTGCCATCTTCCGCCCCTCCCGTAGGTCCTTCGCTTTCCATGCCCGTGCCGGGTTCTTGCGGCATTCCCAGAACCACCGTCTCGCTCCGAGATTGGAGGTCTGGGTAGCTGTCATGTCCGCACCCCGCGTAGGTCTTTCGCTTTCCGTGCCTCGTGCCGGGTTTTCGCGCTGCTATCCCAGACCCCCGTCTCGCTCCGAGATTGGGGGTCTGGCTTGTTGCGATCTTCCGCCCATTTCGCAGGTCTTTGTCCTTCCATGCCCGTGCAGGGTTCTTGCGGCAATCCCAGACCTTCCGTCTCGCTCCGGGATTGGGGATCTGGGTTGTTGTCATATCCGCACCTCCCGCAGGTCTTTTGCTGTTTTCTGGCTGCAATCCCAGACCCCCCGTCTCGCTCCGAGATTGGGGGTCTGGCTTGCGGCCATCTTCTGCACCTCCCTCGGTCTTTCGCCTTCCATGCCTGTGCAGGGTTTCGGCCACAATCCCAGACCCCCGTCTCGAGATTGGGGGTTTGGGTTGTTGTCGATATCTGCCTCCCACAGGT